AAAAACATTGCAATCGATATCGAATTACGGTCTCGAGAAGTGACTAAAGCCGTCAGTCGAAGATGATTCGTCAAGCCGCTCGTGAAAGATAGTGGAATTTCGGCACTAAGATAACAATCTATTTACAAAAACAGGGAAAGAAAACTGAAAAAGAAACCTCGTCATGGTTGTACGACATGAATAGACAGGTGACCGCGCTAACGAATCAGCACTTCATATATGATTAAGATCCGCCAGGGTAGTCAGAATACGGAGGACTCGTTTTATGCTGAGAACTGTATCTGTGCTTTTCGAATGAAAAGTACCTTGAACTGTAACATACCGGTCCCCGATCGCTATCGCTCAGATCGACATTAGATCGACATCTTTCCGCTCCAACGTCACCTTGCGTAACTCGATAAGCCTCTTCGTTCACCCCACGCTTTGCGGCTTAACTGAATTTCGTTATTCATAACCTGGTCGACTTGACTATTTTACAATCATGCTCTGTTTCTTTTTTAACCACTATCAGGTGAAAAAAGTTACAGAACTACACGGTCGTTTGTGCTTCACCTCTGTCTTCTTCTCGGGTATATTGCATTCTTGTCCTTCTCTTTAGAATGAAATCTTCGTGAGGATAAAATTGTAGGTGGGCTATGAAACAAGTAAAGAGGAAAGAAAAAGTAAGCTATTCTATCATATAAGTTAGGGTATGAAAGTGAAAAGCAGTAGGTGATCCGCAACAAACTGCGAAACGAAATTGTCGACCATACTCTTATGGAGGGGCATATCTAGCGCAGTGGTTAGAGGCGCGCTCCAATACACATGGTGTCGATCTCGCGCCCTGGGCTCACCAAGCCTTCCATTCCTCCAGGGTCGGCGAATTAGTACCAGAGTTTTTTTGATGGAAGGCAGCACTGACTCGATGCATCGGTAGGTCACTGCGAGTCTTTGTATAAGCCAGATATGCTATCAATTAAATATGCTTGATGAAATCGAATGCATTACGCATTCCTCAGAGATTGATGAAGCTCGAGAGCTCTGTCTTTATGCTTTTGATCACATGAAAAAGTGGATGAGTTGCACAGTGGTTGAAGACGCCCTTGAGTATTTACATAATCATAAGGGTCGATTCGGTACCCAGGACTCACCAAGCCTTCCATCCTCGCTTGATTAGTAAATTACTGCCAAATTTACATAGAAGGGAAAGAATGCTAACTTTATACATCAGTACGTACATACGTACACTGCAGATCAATGATCAGATCTGTTTACGACCAGACCCACATTCAGTCACCTCTACAATACCACGAATGGAATCGAATACATTGCGAACATTCCTGAGATTTGTCATTGTGAACCAAATTCATTTTGTTTAGCTTTTTATTTGCAGCCTGCTAATTTTTTCGCGGCAGGATGTAATGTGGAAGACAACTAGTTTGATGCTGAGATATTTGCAAAACTTGTACACTGGGCTAGATTCAAACCCGCGATTATCCTTTTCGGCGCTCACGTTTTACCTACTGCCTTCCACGTGTTAAAATCTCTTTGACAAACTAGTCGAAATGAATAAACTTTTGAGGAAAGACGATTATACCTCATCTATTTATTTTACTCTTTACTAAGTAGATCTTCCTATCTGATTAGTTTGTGTTTGTTCACTTAGTTAGTTTCATTAACGCTTTATTACACTGCTTCCCAGATTAGCAGTACGAGACCTTATCTCTCCATAGATGATTTTCTACTGGCCCTCGGGCACACTAACCACTAACAATCCGCCATTATTCTAGTCGTCCAAGATTTGCCTGCCTACCCATCTCATGACAATTAAACGTTCTTAGCGCGGTACGATTCTAGGTGTCTCAGCAATTAGACGGTTTTTCGTGTAATTTCTCCAGTTCCCGTATTTCTTCTCTCCTGTTGGGCGCCATCATGTCCGAGTGGCGTTTTTATATGGAACGCTTATGTAAACTATGTCCTGAGAACAGGAACTTATTGTCCACCACCACCACTAGATCCTCGTTGCTACGAGCTCAGATGTCAAGCATTACATGAGATTCAATGTTTCAAACAATGAAATGGCTATAAGTGATAAACAAAAAACTAGTCCTACTGTGCGCGTTATTTAAACCTAAAACTTTTTGGAAAAGTGGGGGTGAGACGAGAAAAGATCAGCAGACGAAACTCAGTTGGCCGTCTCATTGCTGTTGATGAGGTTATCATTAGGAAATTTCAGCCTGCAAGTTTTCCAAAAGAGAACTAATGCTGAACGAAAGACGGAAACATCGAGAATAACTGGACATAGCTTCAATGAAGCTGATATTGGCAAAACTCCAGATCGCAGGCGTCTGCGGTGGGGAACGAACGCGCTATTGTCCTTTTCGGGTAGTAACGCGTTCACCACCACACCATGCGGGTCCTTCGTTTCGCCTTTCTCCCAACTAGTTCTATGAATCTCAGCCAACAGCAATCACCCGTCAGCGGGTTTGATCTGGAGTGCCCAAATAGTCAACGAACCCAATTAAGCTAAGGTTTTAGTTATAATCACAATCTTAATCATTTTATTTACTCCCTACTCTTTTTTTAATGGTAGGAGTTTTGCCAATATCTCACCTTCATTGAAGTGATATTTCGCAATATACCCTGCCATTAAAAAAAAAGAGTAGGTAGTAAATAAAACGATTAATCACTGGATATAGTTGGAAAATTCTGAGCACTCAAATCGAGTTTGTCCGGAATTTCTCTCTTGTGGAACCAAATATTTTCAAAGGTAATCCCTTTGGTGAGCAGTCACCTAATTTGGATTTTTAAATCTAGTGCATTACAAAATTGCCACAGTATGTAAAATTAAGAAATCCAATTTGTAGAGTTCGGTAGCACAGTGGCTAGTGGTGCAGTTCATGAGGAAGCAAGGCCTTGGCTTGATCACCCTCTCCAACGCTGTCCTCCAATCCACACGAGAACACCTTAGCTCGGTTATCTTTAAGATCGTGCAACAGCCGAAACAGCACACGGAACGTTCGAAGATCACTGTAGACGATGAATGGGAAGAAACGAATCGCATGCAATAGAGGTTAAGATCCCCACAGTAGATGTGATGGCTGGGTATGTAAATTAAACAAAAATGTATACATCTGCAGTGACGCTGCAATGTTTCCAAAACTCCGAACTATAGGTGTCTGTGGTGGGAATCGCACATGCTATTACGCTTTCTGTGTGCTACTTTATCCACAACCACACCATACATGTCCCTGGTTTCGCCTTTTCTACAAATATCTCAGCATCAGTAAGGTTATATTTCACACCTTAACCTGCAATGAAAAAATATTTGGTGGTAAATAGAACAGATAATCTACAAAGAAGATAGGTATGTTTTATAGGTAAGCTTTCCTTTCACGAAATGCAAGTCTTTAAGAAATGAGAGCTATGAGACGTTGTTGGCGTGATATCAACTCTGAGGAAGTTGATAAGTTCTAGGCACTGGGGTTTTGTTCGTAGTCGTTATTTTGGAGATTCAGAGCTAATGTCCTGTTTATTTTCAACTTGTTTTTTTCTGCTCTTACAGCCAATTCTTTGTTTTAGATGGAAGAAGAGTTGAGGGGAAACAATACGGATATCACAGTAATTGGTTGCTAGTCTTTCACCAGTAGTAAGTAGTAGTGTCAGATCATACCATTTCAAAACTTTCTCAGCAATTATGATAACGAAACGGTTGTTTTCCCATTCGTTGTGTAGTTCGCAAGTGTAAGCGTAAGGGAGAACGTCCGCTGGCTACGGATTCGTGGCACCTCCGGCCCAGTGTTCCAATGGGAGGCGTGATGTTTCCCAGTGAATGAGCGTGAGACCTGGCCAGTATATAAGGCATCCAGGTGAAATAATGATTTCACTAAGCCATGTGTTGCTATTCCGTCGTCCAGCATTTGCTTATCGTTCTTTAGTTTGCTTACACGTTCCGTTATCAGTGTTTTTGTTTACGGCAGTTTAATGAGCCTAGTCGGTAGCTTGTTAGGTTTCTATAGCTAAATTTATCTGATTTCACACCCAGAGCAGCATGTGGTTGACGTGATGTCGATACATATCTACCTCATCAGATTAGATCTCAGGTGGTATTAGCCCCATACGAATCCGATAAGAACTCTCGATACCTCGAACATCGCCCACAAAAGTCCCGGATATGCTTGATTGATCGGTTATCGACGTTAGGCTTCATAAGGACAGTTAGAGCAGGATAGTTACTTATCACCTTTTTTTTCGCTCTTCTTATCCTTACTTTTGGCTTCGCCTAATTAAACTTTCTGCAAGATATTTCAGGGCTTTTTAAGCTTACAAGCTGAATTGGAGTTTTATGAAAGTGGATATAATTAAACTTAGTGACAGCAATGACATATAATCCTTATAAGAATGAATAGAAAGTAAGGGAAGCATCGTTAATTGGATTTTCTCTCCCCTATAAAGTCCATCCTCCGGAATTCTTTTCAGTCGAGAGTAGTGTTCTTCCTAAACCGTATACTTTCACTTCAGCTATAACAAGAATAAAAAGGCATAACAAGCAAAAACCACGTTGCATCGGTTGAAAACTTACATTTTTCCCTCATGATTCCCTATGAATGGATAAATATTGAAATCATTGAAGCGCCAGCCAATGAAGCGATGCGTTCGATGACAATCTCTACGACGATTAATTTTGTCAAGTCATCTGTGACTGCTTCTGCTCCATATTACTCATTTTCGTCCACCACATTCACCACACATCAGCTTTGTCGCTTTTGTTCAAAGCCATCAATAAGCTGCTCTGTTCTCCTTTGATCTACAACATTGATTATCCCAGGATTTAAGCTTTTCCCGCGCTCCATGTGCATACGTAATTAGTGGGCGGTCCGGACCGAAATCGCCGACCCGCCCCTTTCTAGCTCGGGTCAGCCTCTTCTCGGACTATTTTATTACCATGTTATAGAAATCTGCTTAATTGATTGTGGTTTTTAATCGTGTCTGCTTATATGGATTGATTGTACGAATTTTAGATGCTGCTGAAGCTGATTTTTCTGCCCGTAGTAATCGGGGAATCATTTTGGATGACTGCCGAATTGTTACGAGTTGATTGGCGTGAAGGTTGCTTGACTACCGCCGGCTGTTCTCAACCACGATTCAAGGTATTCCTCTGTTTTTATAGTCCTAAAATTCAGTAGTCCTTTTGTACCTATTTATGCAACCTTCAGTTACAAGAACATAAGCCAGCACTAAGTGAATTCTTAGAATGACGGCTCCAAGTCCTACTTCGATTTTAGTCACTTCACTGCTTGAATGGCTAAAAAGCTGAAACAGACCAAGTATCGACGTTTTATTAGATGACGCATCGAAACTTTATTTATATGAGATAAATGGCCAGGTAATAGCAGCGAAACTAGTTTTTGGGCCATTATAGCGTGAAATTGTCATTTAAAAAAAGTAGTAATATTCTGGCATCGTTTTCACAACGTTATTCTGATGTGTTCAGATTCTCGAAGACATGCTACCGTTGACGGAGAAGCTCTCTATCAGTTGGCCAGTATCCGAGCATTTCGTCCAGGTGGAACTAATGACGATCTTAACCGTTTCATTTACTGCCTACTGTTTTTAATGGCAGGGTATATTGCGAAATATAACTTCAATGATGCTGAGATTTTATGATTGTGATTAAAACTAAAGCCTAAGCTTAACAGGGTTCATTGCCGATTTGGGCTCCTCAGATCAATCTCGCTGACGGGTGATTGCTGTTGGCTGAGATCGATAGAACAAGCTGAGAGACAGGCGAAACGAAGGACCCGAGCGATGTAGCGGTGAGCGCATTACTCCCCGGAAAGGACGATTTCGCGTTCGTTCCCCATCGCATACACCTGCGCTCCGGAGTTTTGCAAATATCTCAGCATTATTGAAACTAATGACGATTTTTATATGATTATCGATAATTTGCAAATATCCAATCGATATTGGTCCTCTTCGGCTCCGTCCATCGTACCTACCGTAGCACAGTTCTATGATAGGGCACGGACAACTCGTCCACTAATTGAGATTAATTGTTCTCGGCAGTCCGCCAAGAATTCTGTACGCAACGGATTTACGGCCATAACAGTCTTTTCACGAGCCGACTTTATTGCCAGTAGATTCGCACAGTATAACGCTAGAAAACTAGTAACACCAAATCACAGGATCCTATTTCTGTTACGTCATCGTGCGGCAAACGCTGTGAAGTATCGTAATTAGTCAATCATCGATGGCGCAAGGCTTTAAAACTTATGCGCTCTCAGGATGAGGATCAAATAGGCACTGTAGATGTTTTTACTCAACATACGTGTAGTGCGAAATGACTGGATTCCAATGACTGACGAGAGAATTTAGAAAGGAGTGAAAACCTGAGTGAAATGTTTTCTATTTAAGGATTCATCACGACCCTTCGTCTCTCATTGGTCTGNTGAACTTGATATACTCTGACTGTGCGTTTAACAATACGAAACATTTGTCCATTTCCTCTTGTGTTGAGCAGAGGACAAAGCAGTCGTCTACATACCTACAGTAGAGTAGCGGCCCGAGATCAGTCGAGTCCATCATTCCTCATCGACTTTGTCCATCCCACCTACCGTAGCGCTGTTCTATGATAGGGCAGAGACAGCTCGTTCATTAATTGAAATTAGCTGTTCTCAGCAGTCCGCCAAGAGTCCAAAAATTCTGTACGCAACGGATTTACGGCCATAACAGTCTTTTCGCGAGCCGACTTTATTACCAGTAGATTAGCACAGTACAACGCCAGAGAACTAGTAACACCAAATCACAGGATCCTAGTTCTGTTACGTCATCGTGCGGCAAACGCTGTGAAGTATCGTAATTAGTCAATCATCGATGGCGCAAGGCTTTAAAACTTATGCGCTCTCAGGATGAGGATCAAATAGGCACTGTAGATGTTTTTACTCAACATACGTGTAGTGCGAAATGACTGGATTCCAATGACTGACGAGAGAATTTAGAAAGGAGTGAAAACCTGAGTGAAATGTTTTCTATTTAAGGATTCATCACGACCCTTCGTCTCTCATTGGTCTGCCGGTAAACCCGAAGACGTGACGTTGTCATGCCAAGTGGTCGGCACTGATCCTACCTATGGATTTCCGAGAATTTGCGACCAAACCCCATCGATTCGTGTATTCCAGGAGCGGGTCACCGAAGCATTTGTGAGTTCGGGTCGTAAATTATTGTAATTAGTAACATGACAATGCTGTCGCCCAGCTGCAGTTGCGTAATGGGATTGTTTTTTCTTGTGAGTTAGAATAGTTTTATTATTAAAGAAACTTGAATACAGTATCATCATCGTAAGCAACAAACTGGAGAACTGAGGAGATGAATGGGGAAGGTTTCGTCTTATTCTTATTCAATCTTATTCAATGTAAGGGATATTGTGATTGTAAGTATTGATTGTGAATAACTAAATGAAGTACAGTAGAAAAAAATGATGACTAGGCAAGAAATCATCTTTACAGTGAACTAATTCTTTTTTTTTGCTAGATTCACGTTTCTTCAAGATTTTAGGAAGAATTTAGCTACTATTTTTGGGAAAGATCGTTGTTCTAGGGTCGCAATCGTCGTCATCAGACCACCACCGGTCCACTTTCTGAAGAAGAACTTGGGAAAAAACTGATAGAGATTCGCGGCAAATGCTTCAATGCAACAGTAGCCATACAGAAACATATCGAAAGATGTCCATGGTGCCCTGACCCCTCCGATGTGACGCTCATTGAGCAAAGGGTTAGTGAAGGCCTAACCGTTATTTTTCATTTACATTTTACAATAAGCATTAGTGGCTAAATGGAACAGTTTTACTCAACAGCTGTAGCCTAATGGAAGGCCTTCCATTATAAAAGAAACTCTAGTGGGAAATTTGCTGTATGAGATTTCCAACGAGTGAAATGTGCAGTGTGTGCATTTCTAATTCATAACAAAAACTCTTTCTGTAAGCAAAATATGCTTATGCACTTCTGTATGAAAAAGTAGTTATCTCAGCGTGAAAATGGCGTGAGAAATAACGCTGATTACCTATGAACTTCACACCACTGGTGCTCACTCTGAGGTGCTCAATTACTTGAGAGCCTTATGCTGGGTCCAACATCAGGACGTCTCGTACTGAAACACGGATTCTTTCAGATTCCTGACGATATCTCTTCCACATTCTCAGCGTCGATCCTTTCACAGTGGAAAGGAGACGATCATATTCTGCACATCTCTGTACTAGTTCTGGCAGCAATTACTATTCTTGCTTCCATCGGATTCGCAAGTATGCTGGTGGCGTTCCTGAAGCATAAACGGTCAGTATATGTTGCTTTGAAAGAGTTTTTTTTTTGCTAAAATAGAAGGCGATTCTCCGCTCTTTTTAAAATTTTCTTCTAGTTGTTTCATATCACCGTTTTCATTGTAAGTTTTTTGATAGTAGTTTGTTTGATATGACATGATCTGCAGTAGACATGATTAACTACGGGTGCGTAGTGGTCGGAAGCTACCTGCAGTACACATGGGATCGATCCCGTGCCCATGGCCCACCAAGCCTTCCATCCCTCCGGTGTCGGGAAATTAGTACCAGCCTTGTCTGAGAGGATAGCAGCACTCGTTGCATAAGTCGGTAGGCCGCCGGGAGTCATTGTAAATGCCGGATATGCATTCAATCACCTCCAAGCGATGATTAATGAAGTCGAATGAACGGCGCATCCTTGAGGGTTTGATCAACGCCGAAAGTTCTCATCTCTTTTATCGTTTTATAACTAACCAGTAACTTAAAAATAAGCCGCAGTAGCAACGTTTATAGCGAAAGATTGTTTATCGCTTTCTTAATTCAGAACCCATCGCCAAATTTCGGTGAACCCGCGCTATCATCCGTATTCATCGTCTAAATGTAAAGTGAGCGACGATGAAAATCGGTTTGTTACTTTATTGCTGCACTTTTTTTAATTCCATGATGTTCTTAACTAACCTCAGCTATTAAATTTTTTGCGAGGTGCTTAGATTACATACGTAAAGCGCGAGAATGGGAGTAGAGGGGTCTTCCTCAAGCGTACCTCGTAGTTTTTTCTTCGATCTGTATAGTTGGGAGAGTTTCGTTATCACTTGGGTGCCTTTCTTTTTTGTAATAGGGTCGTATATCATCTCACAGTTGCGAGATATGCGTGAATGATTAACGAGCACATCTCACACCTTCACCTCGTCGGGGCTCGTCTATCGTCGTCGGTTTTGATGGATTTGCACCATAGCGAGAATGAGTGTACGAAGTGATTTCACGATTAAGTTGAACTTCGTGGATGATATTAAATTTTTTCAAGTGAAACACAATATTCTTAAGAAGCAAACTCCGCCTGTTAGTTTATTCTTTGCTAACGGAAAAACTGACGTTTTGGCGGATTTCGCCCTTTTCAGAGCTTGGAAAAGTCAGGTTGACAGCAGTCATAAGGTCTTTGTAAGCGTCGTAGTGAATGTGGTTAGCTCTAAATGTTATGACGAGCATCAAACTTCCTTGGAAAGTGTGAAGAATAATCAGTGGAAAACTAGCCTTAAGTAATCACTCCGGTTTTCCTTAGGAGATAAATCTGAAGAAGGAGGTTTACCGCTGAGAGGGAAACACTGCGGATACGGTTATTGCGAACTTTTTCATAGTAAGGTAACTCCAGCACCGATTGACGTTTCTGAGTGCGAGTGTTATACAAAACTCGCCACAAATTGTTTAGAAATGACATTTTGAATCAACAGAAAAGTTGTAAAATGCGAGGGTTACTAATATATTATTCTGGTTAAATAAGCTCATTTTCAGTTATGACATGCCATGGGAACAAACTCGTCCGCTTACCTACTGGCTGTCATCGTCGAAATCTGAAGCGACGACGACATCACCACTCGATTCGGCATCGTCGCTGGGCGCGACGTCGTCAATCGTCGCTCCGTACAACTTCCGAGCAACATGCACAATACCTCAGACGCATCTCTACCATCACATCTCGCCGAACTCTTCTGTCGGACCTGGTCATGACTCTGGACTAGAATCTGTCTAGAAATTCGTATCCATTTGTGAATACATATATGGTCACGGTCTTGCTACACCGCGTGAGGTACATGTGTTGGTTATCACTGTATCCTCCTTGTGTAGCTTCCGTAGACCACAAGGATCAGCTTCAAACCTCGTTTTGTGGCTGCAATATGACTGGCGATGTGTTCCTTACCCTGTCATGAATCTCAGTCGCTTCCATTTACGGGTATATTCAGTCCGGTGTGAGTTTTTTTAACCAGCTAGTTCTAGTTAATAACTTGCGTTACTGTGTCAGTATAATCATTTCTCCACTCTTCTGTTGTTTCTGCCCACACAAAAAAAGTGTAGTTACGTTGCATTGCCATGCTAATTTGTAAATATATGAACATATTGTCTTGGAGTTTTGTAATATAGGATTCAATGAAATTTAACTTAGAACGCTTTCTAATTAGAAAATTTATCATAAGTATTGAAAGATTTTCAAACAAACTAGCCACCCGGATGAAGCGTCTTCTGAGAAAACTGACAGTGGGGGTAGAACAAAGAAATAGAAGACACTAATAAGTGTCTGCCATTCAAACCCTTCCATACAAAGGAGCTATTTTGAGCTCGAGACTGCTTCTCGAATTCCGCAGATTTCTTGCTCTCGGTGATAACCACGACGAATAAACTGTCGACTGACCTCATTTAGCGGGATTTCATCCATCCATATGTTGCACTACGATCGGAATGCCTGTTGAAGACGATTAGCATTTCACGTGTCCTTCCAGATTAGAGAGTATCCATGAAGCCGTGAATCAACACCACTGTAAGGATGTAAAGAATTCGAAAAAAAACCCTTCAGCTGCGCACCAATAGGGTTGAAATGTCGCTAAACATGTGCCGCGAAAACCTATGGGCTTATTATCATACAAACCCGGAGAAGTCGGCGGAGCAATACAGAGCTTTATAAAACGCATTATTTAGAAAGTATTTATCAACATCTTAGATGGAAGCCATAGCCGTTGTAATCGTTAATAAGGAGTATGGGAATAATGCGAAATGTAAAAATGTCAGACAGCTTTTAGAAATCTGGGATTTGGGCTTCCGTGACTTATACATATTAATATGATTGGAAATAATTGAAAACGATGCACTAAATTTTAAAAAATCAAGAAAGTTAATGTGTAAACTAACGATAGACAACTATAATTCCATTAGTCATCGAAGCAATGCAGCTTTGGCTCGTCTCTGTCGTTCCCTGTCATTCTGCTGACTTGATGGGAATGATGAGCGACACACTCGCAACGGAGGTCTTCTACCCCTGCCGTTGTTTGCGAAGAGCAATCACGGATAGGTCGACGAGCTTTGTCGTAGCTAAATGTAGTCACGTTTAACTTTATAGACGACAGAGCCATTACTATCTAAGAAGGAATTCTCTGTCGGTCAATGGTGGTCGAGTCGATTCTCTCTGGAATTATCCTGGTCCGGAAGGATAAGGAGCATGTAGGGCTCGGTGAGGGATCTATCCAGCACCGTGCTCGTGACTTGGATCATACCATTGCATCACCTGCCTCTGTTTACACTACAGTGATTAAATATTTGAAAATATGTTTCACTTTCTTTTCTGCTCCGCAATACTGTTTACAAGGAGCGCTAGAAATCTCAAAAAAGATTCTAATGCTTCCACAGATTCATCGCACCGTCACAAATAATTCTTGAACTTTCCGTAATTCACATTTTAGAAGAACTTCAAACTAGGTTCAATCAGCTGCTCAGCATCTTCCGTTTATGCGCAAGTCACTGCTATGGAGTCTCGTAGTGTGTTCGTGTTTGCACGTCCCTTTTTCCTCGTTGTGACCTCATTGTTGACTAGAGGAAATGTTGCGTGAGTTCCGTCACACCGGCGATTTGCACAGGTGTTTTGGCGTAATGGACAAGCAGACCTCGTCGAAATACTTAGTTTTTTGGCCCTATATATACTTGGATCATCTACTCTCATTAAAGATGTTTCAACTACTCACTTGGATCCTCAAAGGCAAATGAAAGTTTGATTACTGTAAATCGGAAGTTAATAGAAATCCTCTAGAATCCAATCCACTCACTTAGTGACTGAATTTTTTCGGGATGTCAAAGGCAGTGCAAGAAGACCACCGATCCGATGGTCAGAGTTCTTCGCTCGGTTGCAGGCTTTAGGCAGAGTTGACTCGTAAAGTACAATCTGCACAATGAAGGGGATATTCACGCACGCACATGTGAACACTTCATCTGCATAGTAACATCTACAACATCAGATTGTGAGTAAAAACAGTCCAGACTATGTAATGTCTTCAAAGTCATACGTTGTGAAAACATCTTAACGACTAATTAGCTCTCATTAAAAGAATCTATTGCTTTGAAAAGACAAGCAGAGATGTAATGAAAAAATTCGTAGGAATGAGCCATTGCATGCATGGAACGTTTAGACCTGCACTATTGTCGATCTACAATCTACCACTGCTTTCTATAACTTACATTTACGAAAAGACGAAGACGTCGAAACGTTAGCCGAAAATAAATATCATTATCAACCTCGTGTAAGCTCACCAAAAAAAAGAATACTTACATTTACGTTCAAATAATTTTGGCCATGTTGGCCATGTTATGAGGCATTACTGGTGCAAGGAGTAATTCGATAAATTTTATCGGCTAGTTATCAGCTACCTATATCTTCGGTAAAAGGACAAAGGATAAAGAATGAAGCTCTCGGTTTTGACCATTCCCTGAAGCATGCACCATGCATTCGACTTCGTCAGGCAACATTAGAGATGAGTGAATGCATTTATGGCATATACAATGGCTTTCGGTGGCCTACCGATGTGTCGAGCCAGCGCTACTATCTTTATAAATAAGACTCGTACCAATTTTCAGAATCCGGAGGCATGAAGTGCTTGGTGAGCCCGTGTCGCGGAATTCAACTCAGGTTTAATGTAGGGCACCTTTAACCACTGCGTTGTACGCGCACTTCGATAAAACATATAGGTACAAATAAATGGCAAAGATAAAAAGCACGAAACAGAAGGCGGGTACCAACGTAGATCTCCAGATGGTATCTGCAGCTTACATTGGGTATTAGGAAACTTCTATGGGACCAACCTGTTTCTTAGTGCGTTACCTTCTTTCGCTAAATCATATCTCGACCATTACTTCTAAACTTCACACTGGTAAAGTACCAGTTAATGAGGTGATAGGAGCGGGATACGGTCGAACCTCAAGTCTGGCAAAATCTCAATCAAATACTTCCTAATTGTCTTTGTTAAACGTTTTTTAACCGACTTATTGGAAACCATGTCGATTCTGAGGCCATATTTAGCACTGCTTTGCGTCAAACGCAGCAACTCCCGAGATTTCCACTCGGTGATGAGTTTGCAGACTTTCAAACAGCGGATACTGTTATATACTCAATTCTATGGATGCGAAATTGGATGGTTTGTTTTGCGTGCTGAAACAATGCTCCTAATTATTCTAGCAATTTCCTAGTTTTTCTTCTAAATAAACTCAGCGATTTGCTCAATTATTTAAGCCTTACACCAGTTTAGTTCATTAGACATTATTGAATGGTGTGGCGCTCTGCAAAACGTGTTATACTGTAAAGTTATTTAACGGTGCTAACTGAACTTGGAACTGAGTAAACATTTATTACGGAGTTAACATTTCCGATCGCAAAGGATCTTCTTTGTGCTTTTAACCGTACTAATTATGTTTAGCATTAATTTATGTGATTGTATGATATTTCAAACACTGAGAAGATAAGCAGCAGTCGCATAACATGAACTAGTTGGAATATGCACTTTATCGCCCTGATTCAGGACCGAACTCGATAGTGCTTCGTCGAGAATTGTTCAAAACGACAATTTGGAGGCGTACTCATCGATTTAAGCACACTGGGGCGCGAATACATTTCGTGAATTGGGTAGGTCTGTCTTTCTGTGATTTAATGAAACAGTGACTTCACAGAGCTACAAAGTTCCTAAGATCTGTTCGTACGGCTTTTTTTCTTGTTTGGGCTGGTTGTTGAGTAGGGTTTCATGGTCGGTTTCATGGCTCACCCAGAAACCCTGCATTTTCAAATTTTTGAGGTTATGGTGTGCAGTAGTTGGTGTTGCTCTATTATGCACATGGTTGCAGATTACTCTTCACGTCATTAGTCCTTCAAAGAACGCCATAAACTACCAAACTAGCCGGAGGGCATTGAAAATACTGCCTTGCCGTCGCTGTGCACCCTCATTCTGAATTTCATTCTGCAAACCTAGAGGGAGTGGGGTGTGCAAGATATTACTACGAGATAAATCATTGTTGAGCACGTTATTATTCAGTACTTTTTATACCTTTATTATTTCATGCTTATTAAAGCAAATACCCGATTTGGCCACACATTATTGTTTTATAAACCATGACTCTGCAAGTTTGTAGTCGTCTTCGTTTGATGAAGTTCGGAACGGCTCGATGTTTCAGACAGCGTCACCGAGTATTGGACATCGAATTGCGAATACTACGCACCTGTCTACGAGGCCGACAAAACCAAATGTTCGCCAAGTGGAAGAAATGCGAGACGAAGGAAAACTTTTGTGCTCAGTATTTGGAGGACCGCCTCTGGAGGAGAATAGTGGGCGGGTCAGTGTTGATTTGCAACTCTATTAGGACCTTTCCAAGCTCTGAGGAAGGCGAAATCCGCTGAAACGTCAGCTTATTCGTGAATAAAGAATAATAACACCTCGCGTTTGCTCAACAAATTACGAAGAATTACTCGCTCTGTGATATACATGTAAACGTTATTGCAAAAAAAAAATATGGCAATGTTCACTCCATTTACTCTGCTCTACAAAAATAAAACGAGCTGCTTACAGAGCTATCTTCGGTAGCATAGTAAACCCACTTTCATTTAACCTCGGTGCAAGTGATCAGTGGACCTTGTTTCATTGATAAGCTAACAGGAGGTTGTTACCAATATTTATTCGGCTAATGCTTCGACTTCTTCGTCCTCCTCAAAACCGATGATCCGATTCG